AGCGCTTCTAATGAAAAATGATACATTTATCTTATAATAAATAAAAGTTTCTTATTTCGAGGCGGAAAAAATGAAACTCTTGATCTTTTTAAGCTTCACACGATGACATCACAAGGAGGTGTACTCGAAAGTCCTATTCCGAAAAATACATTAACTATAAATTATATTAATTATTATTTTTATTGCTACATATATATACTTACTAAATCATTGATATTATATTCTGAAAGAACATATGAATCTCATTAAAGTTAACTCTGACATAGCTTGTCATTAAAAATAAAAAATTAAACTAAACTTTAGCGAGAGGGATGAAAAGGAGGGCTTACCAAAATTGACTCGATCCAGTGGTGGCAACGAATAAAAAGGAAGGAATTCATGCTAATCGGGAAGGGAAGAAATGGAAATTTCGGATCATACAATAATGATACTTGCCTTTTTGGGCAAAAGTGTATCTTAGAAAGATTTTTCGAATAACCCAATGAGTTTGCCTCAGCCCATAAGGAATGTAGAAGGCGGGTAACTTTTGTTTAAGAAGAAAATGGAGCTCCCCTATGTACATGATGAAGATGGGGTTGATATTGCTATGGATAATAAATGAGATTTGATTAATAAAATAACATACAATCAAGACCGCATTACCTCAAAGTTGATGGGTCATTTGTATGGAAAATCATGGTTCGAGCTATGTTATGCAGATGTTGATGTGCAAGAGAAAATAACTTATTATGTAAGAACCAACATCAACAACAACAAAGCCTTAATCCCACTATGTGGGGTTAGCTACATGAATCATTTTTCTCCATTGCATCCTGTTTAGTGTCATATTTTTATTTAGTTCACATAAAGGGGTTCTTAACCCCTTTATAAATAATAGAGGAATCAATATAATAAGTCAAAGTACGAAGAAATAAATATATTTCATTAATCATATCTTTAGAAGTTTTCTAAAAGAAATTTTCGTAGATCGACAATTATGATGCAATGAAAACGTAACATGAGGGCAGGTAAAAATATGTTATTGCAGTTTAAATTAACATACAAAATAAGTTCCCATGAAGTTTTTTTCTTTGAAATCAAATAGATATTATTGCAACTCTTCCATTTTTTATAATATGGGCACTTTTTTTCCTTTGCTTCCTTTTTAATTAATATAATGCATTTTAAGCAAATATGTGATCCATTAAGTCTATATAAAGGGATTTTTATTGTATTTAACAACTTAATGATTATAATGAATTGCATATTTGATCTTTCCACACTCTTCCCATTTATCTTTTTTTCATCTTTTGTTTTTTTTTCCTCTTCTTTTCTAGTTCTTCCTCATCTCTTCTTTTATATATCCCCTCCTCGCCTATGACATTGCTTGTTTACTGACATGAAATATTCCAAAGTCAAATATGACATTGCTTATTTACTATGACATGACACAAATTTCTTATTTACCATGACATGAAATTTTCCGAAGTCGAATATGACATTTGCTGCTTTTGAATTTTACTTCAATCAGCCTTCGAAGACTCAAAACAAAAGTAGAAAAATCTCCACTAGTAAGCTGAATTCTTGATTCCAAAATCATTAGCATAATAATTGGCTTATTATAACTCTCAGTAATAGAGTTTTGTAAACATTGGGAGACTTTATGCATCATATGGCCTAGTCATCAGATGTGCTCCCATATTTTATATGCTTGTTTAATAACTATGTAATAGTGATACATTATTTCCTTTATTTCTTTATTTAATAATTTAATAGATTTAGCAAATACTTGAGCTCCAAGTCTTATATAAAAGGCCTTAGGAACAACCTGATGACAACAACAACAACAACAATAACAAGCCTTTATCCCACTAAGTGGGGTTGGCTACATGAATCCTTTTTATCTATTGTGTCTTATTGAGTGTTATATTTTCACTTAATTCTAATAAATTAAGATAATTTTTTTTATACAATATACCTAAGTCTTTCTTGGTCTACCTCTACCTTTCTTAAAATAAGTCAAATCTAAAACATCTAAACTCCTAACCGGATTATTAGATGGTCGACGTTTAATGTTTCCAAACCATCTAAGACAAATTTTTCTAATTTTGTCCGCCACTAGAGTTACACCAACCCTATCACAGGTATATTCATTTCACATTTTGTCTCTAACTGTAAAGCCACTCATCCACCTAAGCATTCTCATCTCGACAACACTTGGTTTTATGCTTCTCTTTTAAAGGTCAATATTCTACGCCATAAAACATTGAAGGTCTCGCCACTATCTTATAAATTTCTTTTCAGTCTAAGCGGTACTTTTCTATCACACAATAGGCCTGATGCATTCCTCCACTTCAACCAACCAAATTGAATTCTACTAATGACATCCCCATCTATATCATCATCACTTTGAACACTAGACCCGAGATATTTAAAGCGTTCATTCTACTAATGACATCCCTATCTATATGACCAGTTATAACTCTGCCACTAAAGCTACTACTACTAAAATTGAATTTCATGTATTTAGTTTTAGTTTTACTCAAACTAAGGCCTTTAAACTCCAATGTAGATCTCTATAACTGATGTTTTTCCTGAACTCTTTCTCTAGTCTTATCCATAAGAGGATATCATTCCTTCAGCAAAAAAGCATACACCAAGGTACATGCTTATGTAAGTGTCCAGTAAGACCATCCATAACTAAAGAAAAAAAATATGGGCTTAAAGCCGATCCTTGATGTAATCCGATTGAAATAGAAAAATATTTGGTCAATCATTCTTTAGTTTGAATACAAGTCACGACTCTAGTATACATATCCTTAATGAATTTAATATAAGTCATATTAACACACTTCTTCTCTAGAACTCACCAAAGGATTTCTCTTGAAACCTTATCGTAAGCTTTTTCCAAGTCAATAAAAATCATATGGAGATCCTCCTTATTCTCTATGTACTTCTTATCAAACCTCTTAATAAATGTATAGTTTCCATAGTAGACATGCCCGACATAAATCCAAACTGATTATGAGAAATCTTTGTAATATATATTAATTTATTTTCAATTACCCTCTCCCACAATTTTAAAATATGACACATCAACTTAATTCTTCTATAATTTGTACACTCTTATGCATCCTCTTTATTCTTCAAAATGGAGACTAAAATAATCTTTCTTCACTCCTCAGACATCTTTTTAGTTTTTAAAATAATATTAAAGAATTTAGTAAGCCAAGAAATTTTCAAATCTTCTAAATATTTTCACACTTCAATTAAGGTATCATCAGGTCCTACAAAATTTTCCATCTCGATTTTCTTTAAACCAACATCAACTTCTTTTCTACTAATGCGATTGTAAAAATGAAATATTTTATTATTATTATTATTATTATTATTATTATTATTATCGATATTAAAATCACAAATGTCAATAATATTTTCAAAAACTTTATTGAAAAGTTTATCAAAATAACTCACCCACCTATTTTGAATGTCTCTTTATAAAAAAAACTATTTTTTGACTTTAATCTTTAATACACCTTACTTGAGCTAATTCTTTTTTTTTTTTTATTTGACTAGTTTATACATGTATTTTTTACCCTTTATACATATATTTTTAACCTTCTTTAGTATCTAATCTACTATAAATATTACTAAAGATAGAATTTTTAGTGTCACAAATTGTTCTCTCGGACTCCCTAAGGGCCATTTTATATTTTTCTTAGTTCTCTAAGCTTTTATAATTAAACCAATATTTATAACGCTTTTTATATTTTATCATTTCTTGCATATTATGATTCCACCACCAACTAATTTTTTTTATAGGAAAATTTTCTTTTGATTCTCCAAATACATATTTTACCACTTATTTACTAGTGTTTATTGCTTCGTCCCACATAGAATATGTTTCTTCACGAATATCCAATCTTGAAGTCCTGAGGTTTACACAAAAAATAATTTTATTTGTCTTTTAAGTACCCCCTTCTATTTTTATGACAATGATTTCTAGTATACTTTTTTTACAACGCTTCATCTTAAAATCCATAACTAATAACCAATGTTGAGTATTTAAATTCTCACTTGAAATGACCTTACAATCATTACATTCTCGACGATCTCTGTCTCATAAGCAAATAATTAATTTGTGTTTTATTAGTTTCATTTTTTTAAGTAATAATACACATCTTTTTTTTTTTTGAATGAAGTATTAATAATAATAAAATCATACGTTAAAACAAAATCTAATATGACTACCTTCTTCATTAATCACTCCAAAACCGTAGCCACAATGAATATTTATAAAATCTTCTATCACTGTACCAACATGTCCATCTAAATCTCCCCCAATAAAAACTGTCCCTTGAAAATGTATTATTTGTATTCATTCTTCTAGGTCATTCCTGAATTTTTCATTAGAACCTATATCTAAACTTATTTGAGAAGCATAGACACTTGTAATATTAAAAATCTTAGTATCAAGAATAATGTTAAGGGTTTTTTTCTATCTCTAATTATATTAATTTTTACATCATTATCTTTCAAACTCTTATCTATAATTGCACCTACGTCATTTTAAGTGCAATTTCTACCTAAATACCAAGGAACAACCTAATAACTATAATAAATTAAATATTTTTTCTCTACCCTTCTCATTTAATTTACTTGTCTTTTTTCGTTTTCTTTTTGTTTACCTCTTTGTTGTTACATCTTATTTTTCTCTTTTCCTCTTCTATCCTTGTATCTTTAATTTCTCTCTTCATATTCACTAACAACTTATCATTGAAATTGAGATTCAATGACTTTCAAACATTTAACAAAGATATTCTCTAGCTTCATGATAAAATATACTGATTTTTGTACGTGAGAAGTAATATCAATAAAGAGAGAGTTTAATCACCTTAGCTTATGAAGAAGAAGGAATTTCTTCAATAATCATAATTCAAAATATCAATAAACTTTCTGTTTTTATTTATCCTAACACATAAACATCCCAATTCACTGATTTACCTCGCTTTTCTTTTCAGAATATGCATACACAATGAAAGTTACAGAAAAATGTGACATCTACAGCTATGGCGTTGTCCTTCTGGAACTCCTCACCGGAAGAACGCCTGTACAGCCTTTAGAACAAGGAGGAGACTTGGCCACATGGGCCAGAAATTACATGAAGACCCATTCTTTTGATTCTGGAATTTTTGATAGTAAATTGAAACTTGAAGATAATGATATGGTTGATCACATGATTATTGTTTTGAAAATTGCTTTGTTGTGCACAAATATGTCGCCACTAGATAGGCCTTCAATGTGGCAAGTCATTCTAATGTTGTTGGAGTCCAAAGAGAGAGTGCAGAGCTCTCCATCCACAGTAATTTCAGAAATTTCATCAGAGGATAATTGATGATGGTTTTTTTTTTAAATTTCAATGGAAATATATGATTTATTGTTAATATTTCTGCATGTTTTGTGCATAGAAATTTGGTAAATATTTTTTGTTTTTTTAATCTTTAATTGTATCTTGTAAGATTTCTTTCTGCTGATTTTCCATAGCCTACATTGTATGATTGGTTTCATATATTTGGAATTGAATTGTTTTTTTTAATTTTTTATTTAAGGCATTTTGGGCATCAGGTTGAGGACAATGTGTTCTCTATATCTGTGAAGCTTTTGTTAGGTTTACTTCTGATCTAAAAAAAAAACATTTTCATAGGTAAATCTTTTTTGTTATAACTAAGTTGAGATTTTATTTTGTCAAACAAAGGATTCATATTTATATAAAAGCATGATCCATTTTATTAATTGGTTTTCATAGAATTATAATGACTAGTTTTATACAAAATGACAAATTAATGTGTAATTATTTTTATATAAATTAAAAATTGAAGTGTGTGGAATCTGGATATTCTTATGTGACATGTTGGTTAACCAATGCATTCAATTTTGCTTTGAAAAGTTACTTTTGAACTATAATCTAATATCAAGCTTCTTAGGGATCCTTGGATAAAGATTTGATCATGTTGGTACGTCACTATTTGATCATGTCGTTACGTCACCGTTGGTTATCAATGATATTTGTCTGGGGATCCTTGGATAAAGATATTCATGTTGTCATTATCTGCCCAAATTTAGATTAAATTATCTACCCAGATTCAGACTATTATTATCTACTTATATTCATGATATTATTACATCTAAGTAGTGGTTACTTCTATTTAGATTATTTTTACATATCAATATTCTGGTTGTTGTAATTTTCTAGATTTTGTTGCCTACTCATATTTAGGCTATTATTGTCTATTCATATTTTAGGTATTATTGTCTAACTATGTTTAGACTACTCTTGCCTTCAAGCTGTTATTATCTATCTATATTCAACATTTTATTGTCTACTTGTGAGTTATTATTGCCTACTCTGTTTGGATAGTTGTCGTCGAGTTTTTGTTGCTCATATTTGAGTTGCTTTTGCCTTCAGGTTGTTCTTGCATGTTCATACCCGAGCTTTTTTTACTTGTTCATCTTTTTGTCGTGATGGCCTATTAATCCTAGTAGTAATGTTGCTTGTTTATCCTTGGACTATTGTTGGTTGTTAGTCGTCATGCTATTTTTGCCTATTCATCCTCAAGTTATTGTTGTTTGTTTGTCCCTACACTATTATTTCCTATTAATTTTTGCACCTGCTTTGTTTTTTCATCCTAGGGTTGTTCTTCATAAATGGGATAAATTTCAAAATAATTATGACCCACAATGATAAGATTATGAGTTTCCATTGGAAGATGTGTTGATCATGTTATTTGGATATATATGATTTTTAGCTTAATTTTGACATTATTGTCAATAACTTTGAGAAAGAAAAATCTACTTGTTGGGAGATATAGTTTTTGAATTTTATTCCATTATTATTATTTTTATTTTTTGTAAACTTCAAGAAGAAAATATATAATTCAACGAATGTTGATTAGAACTTTGAAGGTCAATGAAGATCGATTTTTTTTGCCAATATTATTGTATAGCATGGCGATCTCTTGTAAATTCACTAATTTGTATATTTCTTTAAAATAAGACTTCTTTTAAATGTATGAGCTCCATTAAAATTAAAGATGCTGAGTAATTCTTAATCTTCTAAGTGTCTTGCTTCTTAGAAACTTACCCTAAGAAAAGAAAATATCATTTTATGTCTTTAAAATGTAAGTATTCATTAGAGATATGGTGTATTGAGATTTGGATATTACCCTTAGTATGGACATAATAACTCTAAACACTTCTAAGGCTATTCTGTCTTCAATGATTTTTGTTAGGAGATTATGTCAACCATTTATTCTCATGGATTGACTAGGGTGGACCTTGTCTATTACTAGTTTCACATATGGACTTCTACATGGGTGCAATTTCTAGGGATATGAGTGGAAAACTTATATGTCATTGTTGACCTCACTTTTATGAGAACACTAACTTAAATTGACAAATATAAACAAGACCTCTCTTGAGCTATCCATAATAGCTCAGGATCCCCAGACACCCTTCTAATAGCCCAATAATCATCAAGACCATTAAATCTACCTTAGGAAGGAGTCTACCCCACCAACCCTAAATGCTGACCAAATCTCTAATGTGTCTTTTTTTTTTAGCCCAAATCATGGTGACACCCCAAGATGATCAAATTAATGGTGACAAACCTTGATGCAAAATTTATCCATATTTTACCATATGGGTTGACAAAACAACAGGAGAAGAAGTTTATTCATGATGCAAAATTTTACTTTTGGGATGACTCATATTTGTACAAACAACGCAAAGATTTAGTTATGAGGAGATGTGTGCCTTAAGAAGAAATTGAAGAAATTATCCAAAAATGTCATCATTCTGAATTTGGAGGTCATTTTGGGATTGATAGAACTTCTCACAAAATTTTACAATCTGGATTTTATTGGCCTGCTATATTTAGAGATGTTAATATATATATTAAAACATGTGATCAATGTCAGTGAGTAGCCAAATGTCAGTGTTTAGCCAATATTTCAAAAAGAAATGAAATGTTTCTAAATTTTACTTTGAAAGTTAAAATCTTTGATGCTTGGGGATTATATTTTATTATTGCAGTGGACTATGCATCGAAGTGGAGTGAAGCAATCAATTTACCTCGATGTGATGCTCGGAGTGTTTCAAAATTTTTAATCAAAATTTTTTTTAAAAGATATGAAATGCCGAGAATAATCATTTTTGATAAAGGATCTCACTTTTGGAATAAACAATGGTGGAAAAATATAATATTATACATAGGATTGCAACTGCTTATCATCCTAAGACTAGTTGTCTAGCAGAAGTATATAATCGTGAAATTAAGAGAATTTTGAAACAAACTATACATCCTAATAAAATGGATTGGTCTGCTAGATTATATACTGCATTATGGGCATATAGGACATCTTATAAGACACTTATAGAAATGTCCCCATATAGATTAATTTTTGGGAAGACTTGTCACTTACCAGTAGAATTGGAACATAAAGCTTATTGAATGATTAAGAAGTTTAATTTTAGTTTAAAAGATGCTGGTGAGAAAAGATTATTGCAACTTAATGAGCTTAAAGAGATTAGTTTTGAATCTTCTGATAATGTTGGGATATATAAGGAAAGAATGAAAGAACGACATGATTAGAAGATAATAAAAAAGGAATTTTAGCCTAGATAGGAAGTGTTATTATACAATACAAGATTGAAATTATTTCCTGGAAAACTGAAGTCTAGGTAGACAGAGCCATTCACAATTGTAAAAGTTTATCTCTATGGAGTTGTTAATATTGAAGATCCCAAGACTGAAAATGTATTTAAAGTGAATGGGCATAGACTGAAACCATATTTTGATGGTCATATATCAATTTTTAAAGAGATTGTAATGTTGGGTCACCCAGAGTAATAACTGGGAATGTCGTGCTGATGACATTAAACCATGAGTTTTGTAGGAAACAACCCATATTTTCATATTAAGAAAATACATTAAAATATCTTTATTTACTGACTATATGGAAAATTTGAGAGTCATTTTGATTTAAAACGAAACGGTGAATAAATCTGAACTGGCGCTAGAGGCGCCAGATTGGCTCCTGAAGAGCCATTTTTTAGAGAGCTGGCGCCAGAGGCGCCAAATTGGAGCCAGAAGCATTGCGACGACAGAAATGACTTAGAACAATTCAAATGACAGTTTTTGCTGGTTTTTGGCGGGATTTCTTCCTAATAACTCCCTAAAACTGAATCCAAAATATATTTAAGAGGGGAAAACAAAGAGAAATCCACCATTTTTCAAATCTTATGGCTTCCCACTCTAAAGAAACTGTTCGATATAAAATTTTGAATAGGAGGAAGTTCATCAATTTTGATGTGCAAAAGTTAAACGATCGTGTTTTTGTGAAGAAGAGACTAATCAAGGAGCGAGGCTTTGTCAATCAAGGATTCAACAGACTGAATATTCTAGTGGAGGAGATTATTGCATAGAGACGTTGGGAAGTATTTTGCTATACCACTGTCGCTTATGAAGTACTTTGCTATACCACTGTCGTTGTAGTAGTTCCTGTGGTGAAGGAGTTTTACAGTAATCTTCATGAAATTAACCAAGGACTAGCCTATGTTTGAGGCAGGTGGGTAAAATTTACTCCTTCGAGAAATAGCGCAGAATAAACAACTTGTTTATGATTGAAAGCATTCCTATTTGTCACTATGTGGATTTTGTCCCTACGAGAAATAATTTGGATGAACTTTATCGATACCTTACTGATAAAGATGCAAATTGGAAAACCCGAGAAATGGACATGTAAGTTTTTATTCATCATTATTGAATCCTACATCGAAGGCATGACATTTCTTTATTGCATCAAAATTACTTCCTATTATGAAAATCAATAAAGTGATGAAGGAAAGTGCAAATTTGAATTATTATATTCAAACCAGAAGACCTATTGATATTGCTGCTTTAACAGTAAAGTTTTTTTTTGGGTTTAATCTTCAATGGATTGACTTCTGGTTTGGGACATCCATCTAATCCAGTTTAGGAAGCCAATCACAAGTACCTTATGAAAGTTGGGAAAAAGTGTTTCTCCCTTGGAAGCCTATGGACCCAGAAATTTATTACAACTGCACAGAAATTGGGGAGGAGAACAATATGAATATATATTGATGGATCAAGCATATCAAAGTTCATCACCGATTTAGAAATTCATCGCCTATTTAGCCTTACTTTAGTTCGAATGCACTTTTGAAAAGGATTAATAAGTTGGAAAAGAGGTACAGAATCTTATGCATTCAATTGGAAATATTTTTGAAATGTTTGATCACCTGGACTGGAGAATGAATGAACACTTCAAACACACTGGATGTATTGAAGAAGGTTTGGTGCACATGTCTAAGAAA